CAGTCTGGCCATTATCAGTCATGGCAGTGGCGCCTGCCCTTGCCCATCACACCTTTTTTTGGTTATCGTTTTCCTTTAGCTTCTTCCCGCTTTGTGGCACAGATACACGCACGAACGGTCTCTCCCTCTTCATTCGTTCCTCTCGCACGGTTAACTTTGAACGACAATCTCTAATGGGACATTTGTGCAATAGCATTATGTTCATATGGGCTTGTCCGTCGTCTCCGTTTCCGGTTAAGCAGAATAGGTCATCCTAATAAGCCCATTCATATTCACTCTGCTTCAAACACCTACGCATTATATATATATATATATATATATATATATATATATATATATACTACGCACACGACCGTGGTATTTTATAAAAGTATCTTTTGGTCAACTGTAGCGAAGTCCAGTTTGACCAGGTCTAAAGCCAGCCTGGTTCTCACGTGTGCACTCTTCACATGCGGCAGACGATCAACGGAACGAAGTGGGTTTTTTTCTGTTCCGCTTACCTCTTCTGAAACTCCTTTTTTCCAAGGCCCCCGATCCCGGTGAATCAGAGAATGGTTTGGCCGAGAACGAGTTGCTCAACGATTCCAAGCCAGTCAATCTGACGCGAAAAGGAATTCGCTATGTGGACATGCACGATCCGGTAGACAATGCACATTCGAGACCCAACAGTTTGAATCAACTACCCCCTGTTTATCCATGTCATTCCGATAGCGTTTACCGATCAATCAACTACGATCTAACCCGCGCTCTCCCTCCACTACTTTTACACCGAACTGGTCCGGTCGAACGTGCATTGGATCGCAAGGTGTGGTTTGAATTAACCTGCCTCATATTCAGACGTGTTTTCAGTCCACTGGATTACGCGGATCATCTTACTCTGGATTTGATTTCTCTACTACTGCCCAGTGGGTTGCTTGACCATCCGGAACAGTCGTTCAAATTGGGTTTATTGGATCCTAAGAATCGGCGATTGCGTCGGGATTTGTACAATCGGTGAGTGCTAGCTTTTACCCTTTCATCATGAAGCCCAAGGCGTAAGTATCAAGTATACCACAAGACGCGGCTCGTGTGGTTTACTTTTATGGGTAACAGCTGACCAGTTGCCTCTCTCTGCTCACGGTTTCTCAAAAAGTGTGAAAGAACAGTTCAGTACGCGTGTGTTTAGTTCTCCATTGCTTATTTTTTGCAATCTGATATCTGTGGATTTGCGCCAGTCAAAACTTCAGAATACGAAACTAATTGCTGATGGTTTTTATTGTACTGTCAGCTGTTCATCTGTACTAGAATAATTTCGGATTGACAAAGTGACCAGATTTGAGTCAATTGCTTATCGTGTCTGGTTGATGGAGATTTTCATTAAAATGATATCTGAGGTTCTCCGTGGTATATCGAATTCACTCACGCAAATGTGTTGAAATGGCTTTGGTTCAAGTCACTCCAGCAGTCGTTATTCATTTACCCATATTGCTCTACAATTTCCGTTTTTGGTTTACTGTAGTTACAGAACATATACATGGAGAAAGTAATACTGAATAATGTGCGTTGATGAATGTTACTACGGAACCGCTTCTTGTCACACACATTTTGATGTATCGCATAATTGCCAAAGGAAGAGCAGAGCTGTATGCTACCGAGAGCGTCCCCAGGTCGCGGATAGGGGAACGGCCGCCATCTTGCGGCTAATCGTGAATAAGGTGGGGTTCGGTCTACCGAATAAGCGCTCGCGGACGATCAGCGGCAGCGCTTGAAGATGTGGTGGGTTTACTCCTGGTAAGGGTTCTCCGCTCAAAACGCCACATACATCTGCGGACAGCGCTTTGACGTGGCGAGTGTGGCCCGCCACTTAATACGGTCATGCCCCTTGTCGGGATCCATTGCTCGACAAGGTTTTCCAGAAGAGGCGAATGAACCGACGACTGGCCACCGGCTCATCTGGAACATTACTGCTGCCTTGCAGTCCGCGCTTGGTTGCGCAAAGGCTGGAGTGCATCCTCGAACAAGGCCTACTCTGGACCGGGCGACCGAGTAGTACAATAGCCCACAACGCACACAACTATGAATCCTACTCTTATGACTATGCCTTCTAACGCTTTCCCAAATTGCACAATGTATTCTACACCTTACGCACCCTCCCGTCCTCCTCCCCCCTCTCCCCAACTCATCTCTCCCTCCCCAACACTCCTCCATCTCTCTCGGGTTCTTCAGGCGATCGTACTAACAGTAGTGCCTCGGGCGGAAGTTCTGCCGCTGTTCACTCTTGTCCTACCTCGACTAGTATCCAAGTCTCGCCGAACCCTTCACCAGCTGAAGCCCTTATTCGCCCCCGATGTCCCTTCAAACTAGCCACGTTTAATGTGCGTACTCTGATGCGTATAGGACAACAGGCGTGTTTAGCTCGTACGCTCGAAATCCTAGATGTGTGTTGTATCCAAGAGACTCGCATTCAAGACTCCAACACCATTATCCGACTGACGTCCCCATCTAACCAATCTGTGAAGTTTTATTTACGCCCCTCTGGGACCTTGAGACTGCGGCTTCCGGTCTTGCTGGTATCGGCGTAGCTCTCAATGAGAGAGCCGAAGCTGCCATCCTAGATTAGATCCCAGTCGACAGTAGGTTGTGCGCAGTGAAAATCAGAAGTTCGTGCAAGGTAAGTAGCCGTCGCCACGATAGACGAAACTTGTTTGTCGTATCGGCGTACGCTCCAACAGACTGCAGTCCAGATGCAGTCAAAGATGAATTTTACCACAATCTACACGACCTCTTGCGTAGAGCGACCCAGGCTGATATAGTGATTTCAGCAGGAGATATGAATGCTCGAGTAGGTCGACTGGCTTCGAGTGAGGCGCACCTGGGACGTTCTTTTGGACTAGATTCCTGTTGCTCGGAAAACGAGGAGCGGCTGTTGACTTTGTGTTCCGATCACCGCCTGTTCCTCGTCAGTACGAACTTCAGACGCTCCAACTGCCGGTACGCCACTTGGCGCCCGCCCTCATCGAGTCGCAGACGGACGCAGACCGACCACATCGCGATAAGCCACAAATGGCGGGGCAGCATTCAAAACTGCCGCTCGTACTGGAGCACTCCCCTCGAATCCGACCACGAATCAGTATGCGCTAAGCTGTCCATGTGCTTCGGTGGGCGTCCCAAACGCACGACACAATGACGGTTAGACTGTGATAAGCTGTCCAAACCAGCTTGTCTAACTGTCTTCCAAAACGCACTAGCTGCAAAGCTGGAACCAACCCCACCCGACAATGTCAACCAGCACTGGTTGCTTATCAAGAGTGCTATGTATTCTGCTGGCTTAGTTAGTTGTGGTCTAACACGTCGCACCGTGACACCCTGGATTTCTGCAGAGTCTCTACGTCTTCTTGACGCACGTCGGTCTATTCCAACCGGCAGCGAGCATAATGAAACGTGACTCATAACGAGACGTGAACTTATTGCAAGCCTACGCTGAGCCCGCGAGATCTGGTGGACTCAACGCGCATCAGAGATGGAACGTGCTGCCGCCATGGGTAATTTCCGTAAGTTGTTCCATCTCATCCGGGTCACCGGTAGGAAAGCCTTAGGTGTGAGCGAACCGATCCGCGAAGCTGACGGTTTGCCCATTCATAATCAACAGCGACGCCTTCACGCTGGGCGGAGCACTTCAAAGCACAATTTAGCTGGCCACCCGCACCAGCTTCTCACAC